GATGGGGGGATGAGGTTGGTATTCCTCAGGGACCCTGACTAGGAGGGCTGCCAGGGTGGGAGACACACGGATGGGCAACAAGGCGGGGAAAGAAATGTGCAGGAAGGAGGAATCCAAGGGGCACTCCCAAATATTGCTCTAGAGAGAACCCCACTGGAGCGGGGGACTAGGATCAGTATAGAGACAGTACGACGCCCCCAACTCTTCATCTGTAGAACAATCTGGACTCAGTCTGAAAGTTCTGTTCTATCTAAGACCAGGAGCTGTTGCCCCACCTCCCATGACATCTTTGCCCTAGTCTTTCAACTCCCACCTCAGCTACCACACTGGCCTGGACACAGCCAAGCCTCAGCCCTGGACTCTTCTGGCCGGCACGTGGGCAGAGCTGAGCATGGCACCCTCACCCTACTCACCACAGTACGGAGCCCTGGAAGTGGTCAGGAGGTAGACTCTCACTTCCTTGGGAAGGGGCTCTATCTTGACACCATCTTGTTCCACCAGCCCTGGAAATAAAGAAACAGACAGCAGAGTCCAGAGGAGGCCATTTCAGGGTCTCATAGCACCCAACCATGNAAAGAAACAGACAGCAGAGTCCAGAGGAGGCCATTTCAGGGTCTCATAGCACCCAACCATGTGTTTATTAATTCATGCACCCGTTTATTCTACAGACATGTACGCTGCATGCTCATGATGTGCTGCACTCCCTGGTGATTACCAGGATACCAGCCACTCAGTCCAGTGGGGGATAAACACACAAGCAACAAGAAGTACATTCTTCAGATCATCTTGCCCACTCTCAGTGGATAATCATAAGAAATTTGAAACTATGTCTCTAACTTGCAAAACCAATCTGTATGACAGTTGTTTTAATGGCACTAGTATCCTGTGCGATGGGAGCGCAGTGAAGCAGGAGGTGTTTGACCTGAAGACTAGCAGGTGGGAGTGGGGGAGAGTACAGGTAGGACAAAGGCACACAGGATGAGGACACATGACGTCCGCTTGTAGGTACCAGTGGTGAGCATCTGTATTAGTCCGTTTTGTGTTGCTATAACAGAATACCTGACACTGGGTGATTTATAAAGAACTGAGGTTTATTTGGCTTATGAGTCTGGGACAGCTGCATCTGGTGTGGGCCTCAGGCTTCTTTTACTCATGGCAGAAAGCGGCAGGCAGCCGGTGGGTACAAGCAGATCACATGGTGAGAGGAAGAGAGAGAGAGAGAGAGAGAGAGGGTGCCAGGGTCTTTTAAACAACCAGCTCTTGCAGGAATTAATAAAGCAAGATCTCACTTAGACCCCCACCCCCAGGGAGAGCATTAATCCATTCATGAGGGATCTG